GTGAGTGTGTGTGTGTGGCCAGCTCAGCCCACCAGGGGGGCGGGGCTGGCTGGCATGTGGTGCTGGGGGATTGAACCGTGGTCCCTGTGCTTTGCCAAGCTTGTTTCAAGTAGGTGCTTTAGACCACTGAGCTATCTCTCCAGCCCTGTATATACTTTTGACTCTACAACTTTATGCTGAGAAATTTATTCTAAGATATGAACCTGAAGATAATTTACATGAGAATTTCACCACAGCACTGTTTGTTGTAGAAACAATTAGAAACAATTCAATCATCCATCAATAAAGTTATAGCTAAGGGCTGGGGAGATGGCTCAGTGCAATAAGTGCTTCCCTGGTAAATGCAAGGGCCTGAGTTCAATCCCCAGTTCTGCCAAAAAAAAAAAACAACAAAAAAAAAAACCATATAGCTAAGTGCATTTTGTACAACCCCAAAATGAAATATTATTATTATTTTATGTATTTGGTATAGGGTCTCACTATGCAGCTCGCACTCACAGTGATCCTCCTGTTTTCAGCCTTCCCTGCGCTAGGATTACAGGCCTGCACCACCACGCCTGGTCTCAGTGGCTGACTCAGTGTGTCCGTGGAATGGGGATGAGGTGAGGGGTTTGAGGGTTTGGCATGTGGGCCTGGGGATTGAACCTTGGTCCCTACACTTGCTCAGTCTGCCAAGCAATCTCGCTGGCCCTCCAAAACGAAATATGATTTTTATTTATTTATTTTTTTTTTTTGGTACTAGAGATCGATCTCAGGACCTTGCATTTGCCAGGCAGGTGCTTATATCACTGAGCTATCTACCTGGCCCTCCTTATTATGAAGTATTATTTACTTGTTAAAAATGATAAGATAGGTGTGCTGAAACAGGATAATAACCAAATTAAACTGACGATTCCAAAAACGCAAAGTTCATGATAGAAAATTTTTAAAGGATCAAATAATTTGATATTAAATGTTTATTAATGAGAAGACAGTATTACCAACATGCCAATTCTTTGAAACTTTATATAAAAACTTAATGCAATCCTAATCAAAATCTCAGTAAATTAAATATATCATCATTAGGGTAATGTATATATCAAATAGCTAGATTTAGTCACTTAACAATGTGTACTTGAAAAAATCATGTTATACTTAACATATATACAATTTTATCTATCAATTAAAATTATTTCATTGATATTAATAAATTGATTATAAAAGTCATATGGAGAGGCAGCATACCCAGAATAGTTAACACAGTGTTTAAAAAAAAGTACTGATGTGGGAGCCGGGGAGCTGGCTCAGTGGAATAAGCACTTACCTGCAAGTGCAGTGGCCTGAGTTCAATTCCTGGTTCCGCAAAAAAAAAAAAGTACTGATGTTGCCTGACTTATATAGATGTACTATATAAAATTATTACTGGTGACAATCCCTGGTT